ATAGACGACGTCAAGCTATTAGACGCCAAATAGCTGTTCCAAGGAGCCTGATAGATGAAGTCATGTATGCCTGTCACGACGACCTGACAGCAGGTCATCTCTCCTTCCAGAAAACGTATGACAAAGTCCAAGAGAGAATTCATTGGAAGGGTATGTATTCAGATGTAGAGTTTTGGTGTAGATCATGCGTAGACTGTGCTACCAAGAAATCACCGAAAAACAGACCAAAGTGCCCATTGAACCCGCTACCGGCAGTTAATGGACCATTCGACAGAGTAGCTGTAGATGTTCTTGGACCGTTCCCGCCAACCTACAAGTCCAATAAGTACATTATTGTTTTCAGTGACTATCTAACTCGATGGCCTGAAGTACTTGCCGTAAACAATGCAGATGCAGAAACGACTGCGCGACTTTTTGTAGAGGAAATATTGTGTCGTCATGGAGCGCCTAGAGAGCTACTATCAGATAATGGTAAAAACTTCAGATCAAACCTGATAAAGGAAATATGTAAATTGACAAATACCAGGAAAACTTTTACTACCGCCTACCACCCGGAGACCAACGGCCTAGTGGTACGCTTCAACGGAACACTCACAACAATGTTGCCAATGTATGTGTCAGGACATCAGCGTGACTGGGACACCTTTATACCATACATACTGTTTGCATATAGGACCGCCATCCACGAAACTACAAAAGAGTCAACCTTCTACCTGATGCACTTGCGAGATCCTGTTCTACCAGTTGAAGCTGCGCTCTGTCCGCCAACATTTTCTTACGCTGTAGCAGACGACTATAAGGAAGAGGCAAAAGTCCGCCTTCAAGAGGCCTACACGCTTGTCAAAGAAAACTTACAAAAATGTCAACAAAACCAGAAGGAACATCATGACCGTGCAGCGAAAGAGACTCATTATACTAAAGGTGACAAAATATGGTTATTTACTCCAACGACTAAACCTGGACTCTCTCCTAAACTTACCCACAATTGGCACGGACGTACGAGATCATCGAGCGATTATCTAATGTTTCATACAGACTACAGGACCCTGATCACAAATCAAAAACTTTGACAGCGCATGCTAACAGGATGAAGCCGTATCTTGATCCTAATGACCGCCCTGATCACGACTATATCCCGGACGAGGACGTTGAATACGAAGACGAGACGGCCGATGACAACGGTCTCATTGTCAAAGTATTAGATATGATGCGGTCAAGAAATGACTCCAAGCGGTTAGAGAAACGTTATTTTGTGCAGTTTCGGAACGGACACACCCAGTGGTTAGGTGAAAATGAAATCAAAGACTTTAGGATTGTACAAGATTTTATTCAGTCTAAGAAATAAATAATTGAAGTGTATATAAGTAGGTTGTGTATATAATGTATATCTAAAATGAACATTTGTTTTGAAAAAAAAGGTAAAAATAAAACGCAAAAATCTAAGAAAAAAAAAGGTAAAACATGAAATATGTATGCATGTTAAACTATTTTATTATTTCTGTGTGTAGTAAGGTCTCTTTATCTATGAATGTGTGATTCTTGTATAGACAGCTAATTGTGTAAACGATATCAAATTGTCATTATAAATATACTACATGTCAGTATATTAGTGTGTTGGGACGGGACACAACACTTAAGAGGGGAGGTATGTCACAGAGCAATCACCCAAGTTAATTAATTGTGAATGAGAGAGTTAGAAGTACTGATAGGTTGCAGCTGCGCGGCGCAGGCGTTGTAGCCCTGTTTCCCAAGAGTGTAATTTGAGTTAGTTAGAGAGAAAACGAGTGAGCAAGCATGGATTTATAATTTGTTTATTTGTCATTTCTGTTATCGTTGTTTATTGTGCGTGATAGAGGTCTGAGGGATGAAAGTGAGCACTAGATTGATTTGTGTGAGAAAGTGGGCCCTGGGAACATGAGAGAGAGATGAACAAGTCTGAAAGTCAATGAGTGTGGACGTGTTTTTGTATTGTGAACATTGTGATTTCTTATGAATATATCTTGTGTTGTAATTATGTAAATAAACGATGTAAATAAAAACAATCGTCATTAATCACCAGTGACAGGGAGGACCCCCGTCACACTACCTTGGATCCTCATTGTTTGTGTATTGATGCTGTCAATAGCTGACCTGTCAGCGTAATTTTTTTCTCTCGTTTCATTGATGCTGATGAAAGAAATAAACACTTCTACACACCCACCACCACCCAAGCATTTTCTACCTTACTTACTTTAAAATGAGTGATATCTATACGCTCTACAAAATACATTCCATCGACAACCTTCATATAAACAGTACAGTACATTGGAGATAACTAGCAGTATTCAATATCAAAGTCCATAAAACAATACAAATAGGAGCAGAGCAAACGTGATCCTCCAAAACCTCAGAGGTGGGATCAGGTGTCATAGAGGAGTGAACATTCCCTGCCGAGTGGTCACACCTAGCGTTCCATCCTCTACTGGAAATGTAAAGAATCCATCAAAATATACTAGGTGTGAACTTCGTGTTCTCTGATATCGTACTCCATACATGTAAATATCAGAAAAACCATTTTAAACCGAAATATCTATTCCTGTCTTGATATCTTTTCACCTCCGTCTTTTCATTAGGATGTTTTTTCATCAGTTTACACGACAGTCAGTTGTTGTTTAGAGAAAAAAAAGCCAATTTGAATTTTTCAATAAAACTAAAGGAACTGTTAGCACTGAGCTAAAAAAAATACCCATATGATTAAAGTATCATTATCCGTATTTTGTAAGCGTAATTCATTTCCTTATAAGTGGAAAACAAATTCGGTAAAACGAAAAATATGGATATAACTACATGTAACGATACTTATGGTCACAATAATTTTATTTATCAACACAAATCAGGGGCAGTGCAAACGCAGACATCTAAGGCATCAGCTATGCACGGAAGCGTATATGGCTCTACACTTGTTACGTTATAACTTTGTATATTGTCTTATATTTTATCGACTTATCAACATATAAAGTGTTATATCTCCTTATTTATACAAATATTTTGAATTGTGTTGATATGTATTGACATATAATTGAAGGCAACTCGAATTTATTGCTTTAAGTTTTAATGACTGAAATAATATATTGATTTTCAGATATTGATCAAAACAAGATATTTCATCATATCGATATAGTATTGTTGATATGAAAAAATAAAGATATAGTTATATCGATTTTAATTTATGAATATTTGCGATAAAAAAGTCAGAATAAAGTAGTTTTGAATTAACTTGATGGGGGCGGGAATTCTAACGAACCTTCACTACACTCGGGATTCACTGAAAGCTTATGTACCATGTATTTCCAGCGTGTGCAATTAAAGGCTGAATCAAATAAAATAGTATATAAAATAGTATATGTAAAAGGAAGACGGAGACACATTAAAAGTTAGATGTATGGGGGGGGGGCTTTTGTACCAATCGCAAATTTGAAAAGGGGGAGGCAACGGTACCTTTGGTGTCTCTCATCCAGCTTTTTCAAAATTAAGGAAATTCTCGCAGTTGAATTATCAAATCTATGAATTGTTTTTCTTGTTATATATTTAATTTGTCTGACACTACAGTTTCCTCCATTATACTTTGTAAATAAGCTTTTACAGATTGGCTGAAATCACAATTCATTTTATAATATATTAAGCAATAAAAACTTAGATCTGGTGTTTATATTATTTGGAATTATGCCGGGGGAAGAGGGGGGGGGGGGTGGCTGAGAGGTTTCAAGACTGTGGAAGTTCGCGTTCTTGAGTCAGATCCTATGTATACCACAGAGTGAAACAAGATCAAACATATACAAAGTACATAATCAGTGTTACTTTTAAAATACTGTTACTTTCTATTTTCGCTTTATTAGCGATTTACTATCCCCCACTGAACTCTAGAAATATAAGCAGTGAAGCAGAGTAGAATATATAAGATTCCCTCTTCAAAAGTGGTGATGGGTACAATAACCCCAATATATATGACAATGCATATAATCTAACTGTTGATATCTCTCCCTATTTCAAATATTTTTGAATTTTGTTTCAGCCTATAATCGTACACGATAGCAAATACATGGTACATAAGCTTTCCTAAGTGAAGTGAAGATTCATTATATATCCCGCCCCCGCCAATTTAATTCAAAAACACTTTTTTTCTAACGTCTTCTCGAAAATATTCATATATCTATATCGATATATCTATTTATTTAATTTTTCATATCGACAATACTATATTGACATTAATTAATATCTTGTTTCGATTGATATCTGAAAATCAATATAATATTTCAGTCGATAAAACTTAAAGCAATAAAATCTATTGAACAAAAGAAGTTGCCTTCAATAAGGTCAATACATATCAATACAATTCAAAATATTTGTATAAATAAGGAGATATAACACTTTATATGTTGATAAGTCGATAAAATATAAGACAATATACAAAGTTATAACACAACAAGTGTAGAGCCATATACGCTTCCGTAGATATGGGATCAGTTACATGATGGAGTGAGCACTCCCCGTCGACCGGTCACGCTATCTATTGCTTTCTCTAGGCCAGTCGTTTGCTTTACTGTGTCATATAAAGCCTTCTTCACAAAGCCTTCTGAAAGCTTTAAGTCACATATAACTTAGCAAGCTAGTACCTTCTAAATGTCCAAACTACGGTTAATCAATTATGGATAAGTCTTTCAAAGAACACAGATTTATTTTAACATAAATTGTTGCCATACATTATTCTCTACCCTTGGATAGATATATATACAGTATAACAATTGAGAATCATTCTACATCATATCACAAGAACATTTTCTGACTTTACTACTCTTTTTGTAAAAGTAAAAAAAATAAAACAAATATCATATCTTATATATAGAACCATTCAAAAATTTAGTTAAAACTGTCAAAATTGACAGGAAAACAAATTATTGATTTATTTTTTTCTTTAGTTATCAACCAGTAATATCTATGCTTTTGCCTATATGATTGTTCCAAAAGGACATTATTAGGTAATGACATGCCATATGGAACAATGATTCCATTATAAATAGCTGCTTTTTCTCACTTTTTTTCACAAATGAATGGTTTGTTCCATCCACAGCTTGTGTCATCCCAGAGTCCACCTGAACAAAGTTGGACACAGTTGCCATTTCTGCCATTTTCGGGCTGACCAGGATGCCAGTTGGAATAATTTATTTTGGTGTTCCCGTTCCAGGTAAAATCTCCTTCTTTGTCGATATCTGTTGCCCCAATCCACCTTGAGCATGCGCACATGTAAGTGCAGACACCTGAATAAAATGAAAATCTAAATTCGGTAACTCTGTGAAATCACTCATATAGATTTTTTTGTGAAAGTCTAATTTTCGTTCTTATCGTGAAGAGACCAACGATTTCGTATTTTCACGAAATGTGAAAGAATATGGGTGACAAAAACAGAAGAAGAAAAATGCCTTATGTTCGTCATATAAGAAAACGAAAAAATAAAATCCAAATTAAACCTCGGTTTTCTTTGATATTTCAGTTGAAATAAGGTTTAACCTCATGAAAAATCTTCATAATTTGCAACAATCTCTAAGGTCTACTAAAAAGCAGGCACAATACATAGTTGGTAAAAATGACAATTTTTCCATTCTACAAACCGATTTGTTATAGGTATGTCTTACTCAACTTTTAAAATTCTATCATTAAGGTATGTGCAATTTTAAAAAAAATTAGTCAAAGTAACGATCTGAGAAATAAAAGATACCAAAGATTTTCTTAGACTTGAGATTTTTATTCCTTTAATGGTGGGTTTTTTTTTCTATACATTGCTATAATAAGATGTATCAAACAGAATGGTAAATTAAAAAGACATACTAGAATGGTAAATTAGAAAGACATACTGCATTTTAAAATGCCATTTCTCAATGTAAAACATTAGGAAAACGATAAATTTAGATATTTTTTTACCTTATTAAACAACGGTAATGAATGCATAATGTCTAGTCTCTCAGAAAGGGATAAATTATATAATGTTCTTAAATCCTTAAAATCATATAGGTATTACTTTTGACATATTTTCAAAATTGAGTTATCTATTAATTAAAAGTATATCTGTAGAGTACAGGACCAAGAGTTCAAATCAATTATGACGTCATGATTAATCGTACATCAAAGGACATTATCAATTAATTTACTAGCTCTTGACCTTAATTACCCGGTAAGTCATGGAACAAGAACTTACTCAATCTTAAAAACCCACTATTATAGCACAAAATTTGAATCTTACGTGGAAATTTTTGAAGTCAATAAATTCACGTTTCATATCACAAAGAAGATTGAAATACCGAAAGATGCTTTGAGCTATGCATTGTAGTGATAAATGTGTTAGTTTCTAAGAAGAAATTCGCCTATTCAAAATTTTTATCTCTTTAAATTCAAAGAACCTCTTTTTTATGTTTTTTAACAAAAAAAAAATAATCATGGTGAGAGACTTTTTTTCTACAGAAAAAAATTGCCATGATTTCAAAAATTAAATTTGATTCTGATTTGTAAGAAATTGTATGCATTTTGCGCACCTTATCTGACCATCTTCATACAAATGCATAACAATTGAATTCTCCTTAAGCCACAGCATAAATGTCCCAATATATTCTTCTTTAGCCATGACAAAATTTTTTCAACGAAAATATTTCGATACTGCACTACAGTTTAAATAATTACAATTCCTTCAAAGGAAAAAAATACACATTTTATCAAATGCAATTCTTTAAAACTTTACATTCTCACCATGTTTCCGAGGAGGAAGAAAGGTCTCCATTGCCCAAGTATTTTCTATTTCAGTGTCTATTTCCAGTAGGTGAGCTTCATTCTGTTCACAATGTTTCTAAAATAATATATATAGTAAATCAATAACATGCAGGAATATATGGTAGAATAACAGAAAAGGAAAACAAAAACTATACCATATGCATGTACATTAGAACGTGTATAATCAAAAATATTGCTTAAGGTCATAAGCAACGTATTTTGAACTTTATTGGTCTCTTTCCTCGAGATGAAGAGTTCCACTCCCGATGACTTCAAGTTGAAATTGATCACTTTAAACTTACTTTTGCGTTCTCCCAGGTATCTTTTTTCTTGTTTAAGAAATAACAATGGTACTCAAAAGGAATCCATCCTGGCTGACAAACTAAGGAAATAGACAGTTAAAAGGAAAGATTAGATATTCAATGTTGATAGGCAATAAAGTAATAAATGCAATAAATGGAATATTTTGAGAAATAACTTTGAGATATTTAATTTCAAATTCGTTCAAGAAAAAAATAAACTTTGGATACAAATGATGTTTTTTTTTTCTTTTATAATGTTTGGGTATTTCTTTTTTTCACTATTCAGTAATTTTTATGGCAATTCCGTTATTTGATGAGAACGTAATCTAGTTTTTGTTCCAAATCAATTTATTCAAATAAAAAAAATGGAAGGGATTAATTAATGTCAGATTGATGGAGAAATTGCTTTGAAGAAAAGCAATTTTTTACACGTATCTGTCCATTTTAAGAAAAAGACGCCCCTTTTCTGCTTAATTTAAGGTCTATCAAATATTGTTATCGGATATAGCTATGATCATTCTATTGTGGTAGTAGGTTTTGTTTCTTATCAGTTACAAGAATAAAAAAGTTTCTGTCCAAGTGTCATGAGAAATATACATAAGCCTTACATTGATACATAATATGCCTTGTGTGTTACATTCAATTTACTAAAATAGGTTAAGCCATGGCTATTTCTTTTTCTACACATTAATATGTATTATAAAATTTCATACATATAAAGTCTAGCAACACTATGACTGATTAATTAGATGACTGAGGTTGGACACAAATCAGACTCATCAAACTCGTGGATTCTTATATATTTTCAAAAACTCTCATAACCACATGTCACTTTATACAATTATTTTGTATCAGGGCCCAATATGGCAGGTAGAGCCATTTTGGGTGTTTAATAAATACAAGTATCTGTTCAGTGACTCGGCTACATTTCACCTTATTAATACACATGTACAATTTTTCATGTACAATCTTTATTACGTACTCTGCTGGTGTCCTCACACCGACTGTGTAACGTATTATTCTATGTGCAACAATCAAATTCCTTTGCACAAAATATGTTTTTTCCTCAGTCCAAGGTGATGAAAAAATTATAGGAATCATATGTGGAAATGCAAAGAGTGCCTTTAACTACTCGGTTGTAGGTTCATATTTGTGTACACAGAGTCTTACTTGGAAATCTTCATTTGAAAAATTATTCATATTTAAAATTGACAGACCCCCCTCCCCCCAAACAAAAAATGTAGGTTATGTTTAATGGAGCTGTTTGAGTTTTATCGGTGAAAACTACAATAGGAAAACTCTTCAATTTTATGCAATATGTACCTTACATTTACTACAGTATACATGACAAGGGAATGGAAAATCTCCCGTTTATGTATTTCTCCAAATACAGGTATATTCACTACAGAATTCTACGGGATATTGCCATTATTGCAAATATTTCAAAAACTAATACTACAAAAAATAGACATTTTGCTCACATTATAATATGTGAATACTAATACTATATTGTATGTAATCTGGAAGAAAACACAAAGGACAATGTATGGTAACAGTCGAATCTGGCGCCTTATTTGCTGTAAAAATCCGCACAATATTAAATTGTGGTAGTTTGCAGTTTAGAACGTTAAAGGATGCGTGTTTGAAAACCAGAACTAATATTTGATTCAGAGCTTACACGGAGGCCACAAGCGGTTGCAGAAATTAGACAATTTCCCAAAATTTTCATCAAATTTTAGATACGTTGCTCTTCAGGAGAAATAGAGCACAAGTTGGCATATCTGAGATTTTTATGCATAAAATGCATCTGATACTAATGTATGAATTAAATAATCTTGGTAGATAGGCAAGTTTGTGCTCTTCGATTTCTCAAACAAAGGGTGCTGTAAAATCAATGAAAATTTGCATAAAAATGAGAAGATTTGGAACAATCTGACCACTCTGTGATCTCAGTGAATCCCAAAACTTTGAACCAATACTAATTTTGTGGAAGCCTAAGGATGATAGCAGGTTTATGCTTATAAACTGTTGCATGATAATAAAGGACACGCCATATCATAGGGCCAAAAACGTCTTAAGCTATATTTTCCGTTTTACCGTTTGGTGTCGGAGGGGCCATCTAAAAATGTCAAAATAAACGACATTTTACTGTTTTATCGAGTACTACAACATACAGTGGATGCAACATTATTGTTGGCAACTTACACGAACGATCACGTTACACGAACGATTCCGCTCGATTAACGCACGATTAAACCTGTTACACGAACGATCCTTAAATTCGTGCTCACGTTTCTACACGTTACACGATCTTACTCGATTGCTAACGCAAACGCACGATTCTTTGCTCAAAATAGTTTAAAATATTTAGGAATCTATATTTTCAAAACGAAATAAGGCTAAATACCGATTCTAGATTTCAAAGAATTATCAATTAATACATTATTTCATCGATTTTGGGGAAAAAAACGGAAATGGATCTTTCTGGAACTAAATACATGCAAGATTTATTTATTATTTTAGATTATAAATAATTATTTAGGTAATTCTCTGACTTAAGAAAACGGATTTTTTTCGTTCTGTTTGAAGATAATAGTTAAGGTGGACAGTAAAATACGATTGAGTTGGATTCCACAATATGCAGAAAGGGGGAACGATTGAGAAGAAATAGCAGCAGGGAATGACTTAAATTATAAGTCATATCCATATGTTTCCATCAGGGGCGTAGCAACAGGGGGGCCAGGGGGGGCCCGCCCCCCCCCCCCCACTTTTTTTCCCAACCTTACTTTTACTATAAGAAATGTTAAAAGAAACCTGGTTGGCCCCCTCACTTTTAGACTTTTAGTGATGTACATAAAATGTAGTATTTGAATTGGTACTGAAAGTAGTTGACTCTGAGAAAAAGTTTACCTAATTCCCCCCCCCCCCTTCCCCCACGGGATAGGATTTTCGACTTTGGGCAACCTGTCCCGTTTTTTATTTTTATTTATTTATTTATTTATTTTTTGCTTGTCAACTTTTTTGGGTAAGTAAAAGAATTTTTCTCTCTGGCTGCCCCCCTCCCCCCCCCCCCCACTTTCAAAAACGATACTACGCCACTGTCCATTAATTCGATGTGTTTATAAATCTCTAAAAATGAACTTGCGAATTATTTAACAATTCTTTTTTTAGATTTTGAAAAATTAATTAGAGATAAACATCGATAAACAAAAGCCCAAAAACCATGTCATGTGCATGTATATTTGCCGACTTAACATTTATTTTAGCTTTGAAAAATGTAACTATGATATTTATTTGTAAAAATATTTATTTATGATTATATGAAAATTTTAAAAATATCTTGACCAAAATTAGCAGTAAGCAAGAATGATCATCAGAAAAAACGTCTTAGTACGATTTATCACAATATGTCATGCTATTTGACGAGAACATAATATTGTACGACTAACTTTATTGTTTGTTCACAAGCGATAATAAGTTCGTTCCGCATTCAAATAATGTAAATTGCGCTTCATTCATTTTATTTGGATTTAAAAATAAAATACAAACGAAATGCTTGTTTAACAAATGACATTCCGATAAAAACTAACAAAACAAAATTTACACGTTTCTAAGAGAACGATCGCAAACGATTGAATCTGATACACGAACGATCACGCACGATACATGAACGATTCTACACGATTGGTTTGTCAACAATAACGTTGCAGCCACTGTATGACAGATACAAAAGATCTATATAAAATAATTACAGAAATAATTATGGGATTCTCAAAACTTTGTGTTTGAAATCTCCAGAGCATATAGTGTTTACTTTTGTTTTTAAATTTATACTATTTTTCGAGACCAGCTTTTAAAGAATTTTGGTTGATTCTAAGGTCACAAACACACTATTACCATATCAATCTACCTAAAGTTTTAAAATGGCTTTTAAAAATCAGTCATATAAAAGCGTAATTAGATTTTAAATCTGTTATTCCTTAATTTTGTTAAATTTGATCAATTTTGTGAAAATAGTTGCTTTAAAGAATAAAATTATCTATATTTCACTTCGAAGCCGTTAAATGCTAAACAGCATAAAATTCAAAAAATCCAATGTTTTCAAGTTAATTTTTCTTCAGGGGAAGAAAAAATTAAGATTTAAACTTCTCAACATTTCTTTTGTAACTTTCAATGAGTATTCTTTGTGCCGAGTGAAATAGATTTCTGCAAAATAACATCAATATTTATTTCTGTTTGGGGAAATGATGTTGTTTCTTGCAACAGGAAACCTTGAAACCTACAATTTTTTGTTCCACACTTCTACCCATAAAATACCTACCATCCTTTCGAAGCCATAATGTCCATCCACTGGCAATATTATTCCTTTTCACCGACTTTTCATTAAGGTGGCATCTCATCAGTTTACACAATTGGAGGTTGGTGTTGTACAAGATTCCATTACATTTCGATTTTTGCATAAAGCAATGTAAAGCACAGTCTGTTTGACTTAATTTTTCGATAGAGTCAATGAAGTAAAGATCGAGGACTGGTAATAAATTGTCAAAAGAAACATCTCTTATAAATCGAAAACCATACGATGGAGAAAGGAAACAGCCACGGAAAACGCTTAAAAATAGACATAAAAACCCCAAACTGTATTCTTTCCACATATTCCTATCTTTTATGTTTTTTATCTTTTTTAAAACACTAAATACTGATTAACATTACATAGAAACTGAATTAAAACTACATATGTTAATAACAAAAAATGGTAAACATAGCAAAAACGATCATTTCAACCGTTTGGGGCTATAATGCTTAAGTGTATTAAATCCATAAATGCGCAAACAGGTGACAAGCCCTTGATAAAAAAAAAACAATTAGGTTCTCCTATTGTCCGTCAGATGCGTTATTAATCTCACTAGTTCATTTCTTCGAGTCAATAAAAAATCTCATATACTGCATCTGATTTGTTTGCGAAACTTTCATAAATATTTAATGCTTTTTTCTCATTTTTGGAGTCACTTTGAGCCAAAGAGTTCTTGGTTATACGTGATTAGAGCGTTAATGAATTAAAATAGGTTGATATAATTTAGAT